TGAGTTATCACTCCACAATCAGGGTGTGTGTAGGAGGCGCTTTTCTACTCCTCAGAACTGGAATTTTTGAGCCCCATTTCACAGTGAGGGCTTGGGTTTTTCTGGAAGGAGCAGTTCAGGTGATTCACATACTGTGACAGCTCTGTTCTTCAGTAACGCCCTTGGACTAGACTTCTCCAGAGGGAACAACTGTGTTCATTCCCATTCAAGGGAGATGTAAACTGTATGTGAAGAATGGCCACTGCAGTGCTGAAAGAAAATAAAGCTTACTCTACTTATTTGTTCTAAGTGGAGGGCAATTTCACTGCTGCCTGTAAACATGAGGGAAGAAAAAGGGTAAGCTGGGAGAAAACTAAGCAAGAGGAAAGAGTTGGTACAGGAGCAATCTGGTAATAAAGCTGTGCTGAATACGTTTAGGCTTATCTGCCAAATAGCAGCAATGTGTGGAGGAAGGATAAAAAACTGGTTTTAAGAGAGCAATCTTCTTGTGAAAAAGATCACGATTGTCTGCAAAAGCAGGCACTGTTCTCTGCGTTGCAGTCTCTAAGCAAGACATTAAGTACACTTAATGAAGTGTTCTTGCTGGTTGGGTAATGACAGTTCTACTCAGCCTCTCTTGTTTTATACATCTCTTTCTGAGTGTTAAGTCTCAACTCTTCTGGCACAGGTGATAAGAGCCAATAGCAGAATTCATAACGCTTCAGGAAAAGATTTGAAGGCGATCTCTCTTAGAGTCTCCTAGCTCTTCAGCTAGAGTACCAGAAGGACTTGAGATATACCACTTGAAGTCGTCAGATGGCATGCTTCTGATGCAGTGGGCAGCCTCCTTAATTAAATCCCCATAAGCACTTTAGCTGTCTGCAGATAGGGCAGCTCTGACACTCTCTTCAGTTCTTAGACTCTTCTCCATAACTATTCTGTAGTTGCTTAATGGTTTTGTAACCAGAGCTCTTTGCACCTACCAGTTCATTACATTAGGCTTTACAACATTTTGACTTTAACATCAAGATTTTCCTCAGATCTACTATGAATGTTTCATCTCATTATTTATCTTTGCAGTGGATCTTACCTTCTAGAATAAGCAATACAACGTATTTGAGATTTTTAAGGCTACTAGGCTGTTGCAGCAGAAATGCTGTCAGGGCTTGAAACTGTGATTGAACACCTGGTGGGAAGGCAGGGCCAACCCAGGGGAGCTCAGGTGCATGCAATGCAATATACCTGAGTGACTGGAAGGGGTGGAGCCAGGATCCACCCCTTTCCAGACCTCATTTAAGGGTTGGCAGTGGAGGTGACGGCATCTTTTGCTGGAGATCCCTGCCTACCTGAAACCTTCCAAAGGTAAGGAGCTCTTTTCTTTCGTTTCTGTGTCTATGCTGCTGCATTTGGGTTTGTTCTCATTTGCTGTAGCCAAAGACTTTGCCACCCTGCTATTAATCATCCCGTTAAAGCTGTAAAGGCAGCAAACCTTCCTCAAACTGAAGAAATCTGTTAGAGGTATTTTCCATAGCTTCATCCTTGCGAAACAGATTTTTGAGTCTTCTCCCCTCTGATTTCCTGAACAGATATGAAATTTACCAGTTTATCACGATAATGTAAGTGTTACAATCTTCACTCTAGGGGGACTTCAGCTAGTGACTTGTCATACATCTCAACTTGCTGCAGAAGCTGCATTAACACGGTATCTTTTAAAAGCACAGGCTTTACGTAAACTACATCTATATTCCAGGCTGCACAGAGATGTCTAAAATTAATTAACAAAGCTTGGTAGCTTATGTACACATCCCAAGTGATTTCATATTTGCAAACACAAGAGACAATATTTTCTGTTCTATGAAAGTTGGGACTGTATTTGGATGCACCGTTCCATTTTGATGCCTTATGCAAACTCAGAGGAGTCTGAATTTTCTTTATTTCCTGCACTTCTCTACACATTCAGTGCATGTATCTATAAAGTTTTAGGCCAGCATGCTCAACTGTGATATTGCACTGAGCTGGTGCCTGTGAAAAGGTGCCCTGAAATATTACTAAAATGGAGAAAGGATGGTTTAAAAGATGAAACCATTTGAAGAAGAAATAAAGAATTACTTTTCAGCAACGAAAGTGAACATTTGTTATACCAAGCTAGAAACCAGGCACCATCAGGAAGAGGCTGAGGTAACCCAGGACAACATTTTTCTACAGAAAAAAGGACTCACAAAATCAATTAGCAGTTCATTATTTAATTAAATAAAGATTTATACAAACATCAGAACACTTTGGGGAAGTACAGGCACCATTCACTGTAGAAAGGCAGTACAAAGACTATCAATTCTTAACTTTTCTAGTCTGCATTTTTTGCAAAGTCCAAAGTCTAATAAACACGAACATTAATTATATGAACTCCTTTTTTCTTTTCAAACAGAAGGACGAAATTGTTTGCTGCTAAAGATGTTCAGACTAGTCATTTTGCAAATGGTGCTATGAAGCTGATCAGAAGGGAATGTGTTGTAGCATAATTGCCCCATTTCAAAGCATTATCCTGTAATAACAATCTGCAGCATGGCTGTGCTTCATTGAGAAGGAGAGTGCTACATCTAGCATGCACCTCAGTACACACACATTACAGGGAGAAGTACCCTCCTTGTCTGCTAATGCTGGAAGGCAGCCCATTAACCAGCTTGAGCCTTTTAGATCCTTATTTCTGGGCAGGGAGATAGCTCTAGCCAATGATGCAAGTGCTATTTGCCATTTCCAATTATGACCCTTGTGATTAAACCAAGCTCTGAGCCCTTAAACCTTTTTTTGAAATAGAGAACTGTTTTTTCAACAACATTATGAAAACACTTTTTGGCACCAGGCCAAAGGAATGTTTAAACGTTAGCTTTTGAAAAGCTATCTTGTTAACTCAAAAAATAAATCTTTTTAATTTTGTTTGGTTAATACATAAAACATGCTATAGTAAGCTGCAACTTAGGAGAGCCGTGGGCACAGAATACTTCCCTTCCTGGCTGCTGGAATTCATATTATTGGGTTTTTATTTGTTTGCAACAGCAGAAAGTTGGTCTCTAATTCTTCCTAGACCTTCTAACATAGTGTCCAGGGTTTCTTTACTCAGTTCCACGGTCAGTGCAGAAACAACAGGACTATTTCTACATAAGGCAGCATCTTCCTGAATCTGAAAACAGAAATGCAGGTGTTAGGTGTATGAAAAATCCTTTCACAGGTTTTTCTACTGCCACTAGGCAAGATGGTGCTTGATGGAGAGATAAAGAAAAATGTTTTAAACTTGGCAACCAGCTTCAACCTGAAGTAACAAAACATACTTCCTCACTGCATGCCCCACTAGAAAAGTGCACTTCCACTGACAGAGTGCAAATAATCATGTACAGCCATGAGTGGGGAAATTCTGAAGAGACTAACAGCAGGAAGCTGCATTCATATCAGAAGCATCTTAACAGATAGCCAGGATGACACTTAATCTCATCATAAACATAAGCATTAGATTTCTCCTCCTCATCTAATACTGTTCTTAGTGATTTGGGGACTCAAGAATGCTGCAGAATTGCCAGGTCACAGCCTGAGCCAATGGCTGAGCACCAGGTGAGAATGTGCAGCTAATTCAGGGAGCTGAGGTGGAAGCAATGTACGAGTGGCCAGAAGAGATGGACTCTGGATCTGCCACTCCTCATCCTCGTTTAAGTATTAGCAGCTGTGGGAGCAGGATCTCTCTGGACAGAGATCTTGAGCTATTACCGGTCACTAGAAGGGGTGAGCTAATTATTCTTCTTTGTCATCTTCTATTGCTTTATAGCACTTGTATCTCAGTAGAAGGCACTGTCATTGCCTTCTTTTGCTGCACAGGAATACAAGCAGTAAGTTTGGCTATACTGCCCAAATGATAGATGTGGCCAGTGAAGGAAGTTAGTAATCAGAAGTCATCTTCCCAATTAATTCAGTTATCCAGTCATTATTGAGTGACTTTGAACTAAAACCCAATGGCTTCTCTGTAACTTTTTTTAAAATTTTCTTTATTTCTATAGAGAACAATTGTGACCAGGGACAAATATGCTACTTCTCTCATCCTCAAAAGAAATCTCTCCTTCACAATGAAGAGACAGCTTTCATCAGAGACACTATTCCC